GAGGAGGAACATACACAAGATCATGTGGCTGCTCAACAACATGAGACAGGTTAGTACAATATTTGTCCATTCAAACTAGTACGTTGTATATAATAGCACCAGTAACTGGATGTGACTAAAACTGTGCAAAAATAAGTAAATATATTTTCTGCTTTTATATTTATATGGTATGAGCAGAATTATATTATAACAATATACATTTGAGTTACTTTTTATCAACAAAATTACTACCTAAACTAGAAGATCTTTGTGAACAGAAAAATGCAGCTTGAGTGTGAATAGTAACACTTGTCAGTTGCCAATATAACTTATTAAATACAACAATATGTCTATGGATTGTTTCCTCTCTATGTAGGAATTTTATCCTATTTGAATAATCCCAATTTTGGCAGAATGTTGCCCTTCTTTGCCGTGTAAGGACCTTAAATATATTTGCATCGTTTCAGTTCTGAGGGGAAAAAATGTTTTAGTAATCCTAAGAGATTGTGATAACATCTGTAAGCTTGTGTTATAATAATTGACTAAAAATCTTTGAATTACAGAAGTTCCTGTTCACACAGAAGATTATACAGAGGATGATGTAATTGGTAAGTCACCTCTTCAGATTCTTATTTTTAATTAAAAGTAACTTTCACACAGTGCTCATAAGAGACATTTTACATAAAAGTAGAAATAAAACTCATAAGCAGATTTGAGGTTTGAAGCAGAAGTTAAAAACACAGAACTATAGAGTTTAGGAATTATTTTTTTTTGAGTGGAACAAGCAATTAGAACAAAGCAATAATTGTCAGGTTGATATTTTTATGTATTTCTAGCACTTTTTTCTTTTTTATTCCTAAGAATCCTATTTTTTTATTGTATTTATTCAGGTTGGCAATTCATCATCTAATTTAATAACAGCATTTAATAAAACAGCTGACAGTAGATACATTTTTTACAATATCGATTAGTCTTTAAATAATGGTATAGATAAAACCATGAAATTTGGACAAAGGAGGCCTGCCTTAAAGTCTTTGAACAAAAATTATATTAAAAATGAGATATGTATAAAGTAGGATAATAGATACCATTAAACAGATAATTTACTGCAATAAAAAACAGATGTCTATAGAAGAGTGTTAAAGTTATGGCCATTTTTGGGAGCTACTGATCTGCAATAGGAACTTTTCAAATCTTATTCCATAATGATTGTTATTTTAATTTTCAGAATTAAAGCATATTGGGAAGCACATAATTATAAGGTGTTTTCTGAGGCCAGAAATTCAGTTTACTTCTTGATATGGCATGTAATAGCCATATTTTTATGAGATATATAGCAAAATATGATATAGCATAATTTATTACCCCTCCTACATTCACTGCACTTTTCCATCACCTACTATTATATAGCAAAATCATCTCAAATCTTCTAGGTTGGTGACTCCTATTGGTATGAATTCTAAGCAGTACTTTAATAAGGGGCAGGCATACGTGGCAGGGCAGTTTAATGAGTGTAATTGCATGGATAATATAGAATATCCTAAATTTCCTATAAATTTAGCCTGCTGCTAGAAAGTTGATTGTCAGGAAACAGGAATTGTGTAATCAGCTTCCGCTAAAACAACCATGTCAGTTTTGCATGTTTTTCAGGATTTGAAAATATAGTGAACCGAATTTCCAGAAACTCCTTTCATTTTCTATATTCTTTTTGTACTACAAATTTTGAACTGTTTATCATTGAAAAGTAGATTGATATCTTATAGATATTCAAGAACTGAAGTGAAATTGCTGTTTAATCAAATTTTTAATGCTGTATTTTTTCATATGAGAGAGGCAAATTATGGCTTACAGAGTGTTGTTTGGAGTTTTTTATATGTAATATTCATTGTCTAAAAAAACTACAAAGGGAATTTTAAGAGCATTATTTCTTTCAGTTTTAAAAATATTTTAATTTTAAATGAGTGAATTGCATCGCATTTAATTTTGCTAATAGTCACACATAAATTTTAGAAGTAATAATCTAAACTTTGGCAATTCTTATCCATTGTGGTATGGATAATCCATACTATTAAACAGTAATAGTTCAGTACAGTAATATTCTGTTTCAGGGTTGCTGATATGCACACACACACACACACACGCACACACACGCACACACACACACACACGGAGGGAGGGAGGGAGGGAGAGAAAGAGAGAGAGAGAGAGAGAGAGAGAGAGAGAGAGAGAGAGAGAGAGAGAGAGTATTCAAAACTGGCACATTTACTGAATTTTAGACAGATAACAGCAGTCAGCAGTGTGAGTCAAATGCCTAAAAGCGGTTGACCAAATACATTCCAAGAGTCACAGGATGCCAAATTGGGTAGTCAGTTGGTCCAGTGGCCAGGAACAAAAAGCAAGAACTAGAAAATCAAACAAATGTCTCCAACAAAGACTGCAGACAAAAGGGCGAGCTAAATCTGGATAACCAACTGGCTGCAATTACACATGCCTTGCCCTTTTCTTAGTGAGAAGCCTCCTTGAATGTTGCTCAGCTCACCTTTGGATTTGTCTAGACCTGGGTCTTTGGGGTTGTTCCTCATCATCTGGCTGCTCCATTTGAACAGGAGATCCTTGTGGTTGATCAGCCTCCATTGAATCCTGGCTTCCTGATTCTTAAGGCTGACCATCTGAAGCACAAGCTTAGCTGGAACAGCATTGTCAGATGCCAAGTGAAAATCAAACTTTGAATCATGGCTATATAACTGTCATCATTTAGTGATCACAGTTGAGTTGGGGCTGCTAAGTGGTCAATCACATAACCACAACTGTGCTTTCCTTTTCTCCTCTTCCCTACTCTTTGAAATGCTTCTCTCCACAACAATGCTAGGATAGAGGCTTCAAAACTAACAAGACAATTAGTTTCACACCTTTCGCTTTTGTTTGCCTCCTAACTCCCTGGCCCTTTGGAATATTCACTCATATGTTGGCATAATGAATAAGAGGGGAATTAATTTTTGTATTTTATATTCAGTGGAGAACAAGGGTTTACAAGAGAGTAAGGCATATTATGAGGAATACACCTTGAAAACAATTGCAGGCAGCTGTGAATACATTCAGCAAACAGCCGGTATATGCCCCATTGTGTGCCGCTTATTCTCTTGAAATCCCTTCCTCTCCAATCTCTCCACTCTGCAAAGAGGTGGGGGGGATGAATCAGATGCAAAAAAGTGCCTACAGATATCACTTGTATTTTCTTCTCTCTTTCCCCATCCACCAGCTAAAAAGATTTTGGCTGTATATATAAATTCCTTGTGTGTGTGTGTCCTTGTAATCAAGAACAAGTAGTTTATAGAAAATAGCTATTAAAGTGTTATTAATGGCTTCAAACTATGAAGTTGATGTTTATTTTTTCATTATAGTTATTGTTGTAAATAAATTTGATTTTTTAAAAAGTCTTATCGTGTATATTCAGTAACTATTGTATGAATTTACATATCTCTGAAAAATATACAAATGAAAAATGTCTGAATTTTGTTGTAAAAGATGTAGTTCCTTTTACGAGTTAGTCAGGAAAGCACAAAGTATTAATATATAATTTATATAATACCTATATATTATATATATTATATAATACCTATATATTTTAGGTAATCAGGTATACATATATATATGACAGTTTGCATTTTATAGCATAGCTCCTTCCTGCAATACAAGTGCTGAGAAATATATAAAGGGATGGTTCTTCTTAGGACACAATCTACTGGGACATTTGTGTAGCTTGGCTGTAGTGAGAATAGGATGCAAAACTAGACAACTGCTTGAATGAATCTTACCTTCTTAACTAGAGGTGAATTTGAGTTGATGTGAAAGCTTTGTGGGCAGCCCATAGAATAATTGCTAGGCATTTCAACCGTAGTTTTGGTGATATAGCTCCTTCTATTGTATCTTATTATATTACATTGGTCTGAATATGAATGTGTAGTTCAGCTGCAACTGACATATTTGAACATTAACTGGCACATGGATTTTTAGTAGCTGCATTCTCATAATTTCTCTCAAAGGACCCCAGAAAATAAACTACTCATATTTCTGTTGTTTGATCTTGAGACATCTGTAATGGTTCCATATCTGATGCTTTCACTATCCCTGCACAGACATCTTGTTTAATTCAGTTCCTATATGTGTTTAATTCCTGCCATTCCCAGCATGATATTTGCCTTAACTCTTTCTTTTTGGCACAGTTTTGTGCTATTTGAAGATATTTCTCTTTATACGAAGTGTTTGACATGATAGAACAGAGGAGAATATAAGCGATTTTAGATTTTTTTCTATTTAAACATTGGTTTACCACTTTTTCTACCTTTATGTTCATGATTTGCAGATTGGTAGCTGAAATAATATATTATGATTTGGATATAAAGACCTAATTCCAATCTCTTTGTTTTCAACTTCTTTATTCCTTCTGCCCTTCAGTATGTATATATATATAAACCATTTTTTTCAAACATTCTAAGATCAAAAAAAAGCCCAAAGTAGAACTATATAGACTGTAGACAAGTCTTTCTATAGTGCCAAAGGCAGTCTCTCTCACATGCAAATGATTGCCACTTATTTTCCAAGAGGGAAAATGAGGATTTTGGAAAACATCTTGACATAAGCAAAATTTGTTCATCCTTCTGTAACACTGGGTACTCCAGCTTTCATAAATATGAATGTATCTTAGGCAATTTTCCTTCCACATGCGCTTTCCCCATCATAATGGGTGTTTTTTTAAGTGTATATCCAATAGGCGTATCAAAGAGAGGTGGGGTAAGAGATTCTTGGGTTTCTGGGATCATTTTAGTTCCAAGGGACTGTCCTTTAATTCTGTTATTGCCTACCTTTTCCCCTAGATAGCAACTTTGTGTTTAATTAAACAGTATTTCTAATAACACATAGCTAAATTAAGTATATTACAAAGTTGCATATTTATATTAAAGATTATTTCTCAATCACCTGTTTTATGGTTGGTCCTCTAATTTAGATCTCCCCTTATTTTTTCAGATACTTAACGCTTCAAAAAGACTCCCTACATCAGGAGGACCAGCTTAAACCATATTCTACACATTGGCAGCAGATGTTTGTTAAAATATTTTCTATGACATAATTAACGGAGCTCAGAAAATTAGTGGCGGATGTAGGCACTAAAAAGTGTTTCACAAATTACTTTATGAGACCATTCCATTTAGAAATTCCATTTTTAATTCATTTCCCATAACTACTAATATGACATAAAAATGTAAAACCTTTTAAAAAATGCTTAATATGCATGGCAAATTCATTTCTTAAAATGATACAAGAAATGCAAAAGATACTTCCGAAAATTCCTAAAACAGTGAAGGATTACAGAGCACCACAGCACATAGTTGATTTTTTTTTTAGTAAGCCAGTTAACTTTAGCATATATTTAGGATACTAATATTCATTTTTAATATTTTTGTAGCATTTAATATACATGTTTTTTTTAACTTTTCCCCTATTAATGGACGAATAATTGTATTGAATTTTAATATGTGGTGTTCACATAATTGTAAGTGTGCTATTTATAGTGTAACAGTAAAATATGGATGTAATCTGATTTTACAAAGTTTTAAAATGTGAACAAAATATTTTGGTATATTTACATGCCTTATGGCAAAAAGCTAGTGAAATAGGACTGTGAAATAATTTTGACTTGGACTTCTACATACTAATTTTGTATGCCATTATTTATCTGACATTAGCCCAGATAAAGCAAATAATTTAACCATGGACCTATTCCAAAAGGATCACTAAATATATTTTTTACTTTTTTATGTTTTGATGGACTGATTCTTCTGGTGAAACTTTAATATTAAAACACAAGGATTTCCCTTTGTCTTTTGGCCTCATTATTATCTCTGCTATGTAAGTGATGTTCTTGTAACTTCTTATAATAATAAAACTTCTGCAGTAAATAAGATTTAAAAGTAAATGATCTTAGGCTTACAGTTTAATTATTACTGCTTGTACATGCTTTACCAAAAACTGTTTGTTATAATTACATATATTTCTTAATAAATACTCTGCTTACAAAAGGTGAATATTAACTGAGGCAGTATGTAGGAGAATTGTTCTCAGTCCTGCTGCAGAATTTAAAGATATTCTTTCAGAAAAAATAAAAAGTAGTTACATTTAAAACTGAGATTTTTATAGGAAATACATACTATTTGAATCTTTGAGGGTTCACTAGAATAGCAATAGAATTTGTGGCTTGTATATTTTAGGTAGTGATTGGATGTAACTTGTTGTTTTTTTGAAAAAATAGAGATAAATGCAGTGCATTTTTATTATGTTGAAATCCAAGATAACAAGGACTACATAGTTTGAGAGTGTACGTAGTACTTTATCATGTATTTCTGTGGACTTGTTCTTCTCTCTCTCACTCTCCCCATCTATGCATGAAAGATTTTGCATAAGCTGTAACTGCCTTGGTCTTTCCTATTTGTTGTGTATGCACAGGCGCTGCAGCAAATGAGAACATTGTGCAAAAAGGATTATGCCATATACATTTATGATACTTAGGAAACAATCTGTTCATACAGATTGAGGCAAAGTATTATTTTTCATAGAATTAAAATTGTACATTTCTAAATGACAGCAATACTTTTTATAAAGCCATAATTTTAAGGATAATTAAGATTATTTTGGGTAAAATAAATTGAATTTTTTTGTACAGCGACTCTGTATTTTTGAAATGCTGATGATTGTGCTGTGATCAAATTTTCTGTTATGCTACTATATGTTTTTCTTGTTTACATAAGTGTGCCATGGAGACAAGGTGAAGGGAACTATTAAAATATGTACCTTCTGTGTTAACATTTGCTGCAATAAAATACAGAAGAATGTTTCACTAGTGGAGTAATTATTTTCAAAAATACTGACACATACTTTAGTGATAGATCATTAAATCATTATAAAGGTCAGAAAAAGACCATTCAGGAGGAAAACAGGACTAAAATCATGGAGGCATAAAGAAAATAAAACCTAATGTGGCCTTAACCATATTACTCCCAGAATATGTCTTGAGTTGTATTATACTAAGGATATAATTGAAAATGATGTTTAACATATTAGGACCATTTGCTTCCTATGAATATTGCAGAGACTTGTGGCATAAAGACTGATAGCTAATATGACATAATATGTCAGTGTTTAAGGTTGCTGCACAGAATTCCTTGCATGTGCTGTAGAACTAAATCTAGGTAACAGTTGCTGAATTTATTTCACAAACTTTGTTTGTTTGTTTGTTTGTTTAACTATCTGTTATATTATATTGTATATCCAGAGCCACTATTGGAGAGAATTGGATAGTTTAGATAGATAGATAGATAGATAGATAGATAGATAGATAGATAGATAGATAGATAGATAGATAGATAGATAGATAGATAGATAGATAGATAGATAGATAGATAGATAGATAGATAGATGGATGGATAGGCAGGCAGGCAGACAGACTGGCAGATAGACAGACAGACAGACAGACAGAGACAACTTATGACCAATTGCTTAATGATCGTTCGAAGTTAATACAGACTCAAAAAAAGTTACTTTAAACCTGTCCTTGAAGTTAAGACTACCACAGCACCCATGCAGTCACATGATCACATTTCAGGCTCTTGGCAATTGGCTCACTTGATGATTGGTTATGGCATCCCACAGTCATTGCTTTTTGCATTATTATTTTTTTGCATTTTTTGACAAAAAAACAGCCATTGGATAAAATGGGTTTACACTTACAATCATGTGGTTTACTTAAACACATGGCTTGCTTAACCACGGTGACTCACTTCACAATCGTCGCAAAACCAGTCATAAAACTGTGTGGTCACATAATTCCTCAATTTACAATCACAATGACTTAAGAGCGAAATTCTGTTCCCAATTGTGGTCATAAGTTGAAAATTACTTGTATTATGAAAAACAACTAAGATTGGGGTATATAATGCATTAAGAAATGGTGTTGCATGAAACTTTTACCCATAGGAACCATTGGTCCATTCTAGAGAAAATTAGACCTTTTACAGTTTGATAGAATATTTAAAATTCCTGTGGCACCAAAGAAGCCAATTGGCTTACTATTGTATAAATATGTTTAGGAAAAGACTATTCAAAAGAATTATCTTTTTCAAATATATACTTTTTATTAAAACTTTTAAAAGAGAAAATAAAAACTAATACAAATGAGTATCAAGTAAGAAAAAAGGAAAAGAAAGACGTTAAAGAGCAAAAAGTGCAAGAAAAGAAAAAAAAAGTTAAAAATAGAAAAGAAAAAAGATACAAAAAATGGCTGCTGATATTCTTCACAGCAGTTATATATAACCTTATATTTAATCTCTCTCAGGTTTTATTTGACCTCTCTCAAGTTATATTACCCTTGTTTCTATGATATATCTAATCATCAAAACACATAAATCACAAGTTCATTTTTATGCAAAAAGTCCAGGAGTAGTTTCCAGACATCAATAAATGTAGATAGATTTTTTTTGTCTAATCAAAGAAGTTAATTTAGCTACCTCAGCTACCTTTTTCACTTACTGGTGTTATCAGGGCAGGCCTCAAAAGTGAGGTGAAGCAAATCAATGCAGCCAGCTTGATATTAGAAGCACACTGCTTTTGGAAGCATTTCAAAGGAATGCTTTGCTCAAAGCATCATCAAAGCAAAGCAACCCATTTAAACACATCCTTAATTAGCAACACATGTATATTTTACTCTGAGCACACTATGGTTACATTCTATTTATTTGAAGACAGCAATTTAATAATTCAGTGAATATACACTTGAACTTGCTTTTAAAAAGGATCAGGATGATAAGAAATCTGTTTACCTATTCCAGGACATGGTGAAAAAGAAACTCTGCAAAAAGAAAAAGGTAAGCAACTGAAAATACGGACAGTTCAAATAATCTAAAATTCCTGCATTGGTAAGAACATATTTGAAATAGTCTAATTGTTTTTGTTTGGGGGGGGGACTTTGACATCTACATTCAGACAGGGTCAACCTGAGAAAATGATCATATCTTTAAAAACACTTTGGATACCATTCTAGGATTTGGGAAGAAAATGTTTTATCTATATGGTCTGCTTAGCTACAAATCTCATCTTCATTGGAAATGGCATTCAGACAAATCCTAAGACTTCTCTTGTCCCTAATATATCATTTAGACTTCTTGATTTCCCACCATTTTTGTTTATTTAAAGTTTAAGAAATATATCCTTTTTCACATTTCAAGTTTTCATGCAAAAAAAAAAAAGCTCAAAAGAAGATAATAATTCAAAAGCTTGGCCAACCAGATGCCTATAGTGCTTCACAAGCCATTGCTCCCTGGCATTTGGAATTTGGAAGCCTGCCGTTCTCAGGCTAAAAGAGAGACAAAGAGAGAAACATTCAAATATCTGAAGTGTCCTATCATTAAATACATTTTGCTGGAGATCTCCAGTTTTCTTACTAATATCATACTATATGAGTTGAGACAGCTACATTTTCCATTTAAAATGAAATGGGTAAGAGATTAAAAGTTCTGCTTTAGCTGGCAGTATTGATACCTTTTAATTTATTATTATAACATGGTATTTGAAAAGAAATATAGCAAGAAAAAGGCTACTACTAAGTAAACTATTCTAGTGAAATAAGATTCTCTGTAGAGGTTGCTATCTTAAGATAGCGGTTTATTGATTTTGATATATATTGTAAAAGTTATATCATAAAATATGCATTATTTAAAAATGACTCAAAAGAACTGAATTGTGCAAGCATGAAACGCGCCCACTTTGCTATTTATTGAAGCAGCCCAACCTTTTTTTAGATTTCTACATGAATTTGCAAAAAAAGAAATTAACCTTTATGAATGGATTCCTGAAAGTGGATACACTTTTTTTGCAGTCATACACAAGACAGACTGCTTTAGTGGACCACTGAGACATTTTGTTTGTACCAGATCCAACCATTTCTTCTGAATTCTCTTAAAAATGCACCAGAATATAGCATTGGCCAATGTAGACATCTGTCATTTTTTCCTTATTGTCCAAAAACAGGATACCATATGGTAGAATGTGAACTAAATGTCCTAAAGCATATGGGTGTTCTTGGAAGCAATCTATGAAAACAGATCTCCCAAATCTTTAAAAATGACAGTGAATTATTCTATTATTTTATTTTCATGTCTATGCAATCAATCATATTGAGCTAAAATGCTATAGTATTCAAAATACTGAAATACATATGTGTTTATATATTAAGAATGGAAGGACTAGCATTTCATCTTTCACACTGTTACATAGGTAAATAAATCTTACAAATGCAATATTACAGTTCTGACAGCTGAGAAATATGTATAGGCAATAGCTTACAGTAGCTGTAAATACTTCATTTGACACATTGGTTTAACAGTTTTAGCTAGAGATGGTTTTGGAGTTCTGGTTAAAAATGTCTACAATTCATCTCATCAGCCATAATTATCTTGAATTCTATAATGGTAAGATCCTTAAGTATTTTTTGTTTGTTCTAGATTAATTTTCCCCATACAAAAGTTTTGGAACCCCCAAAGTATACTATCCTTATTTCTTAACGTAATCTTTTCAATGTTAATATTGGTAGAGACTCATAATTAGAAATTTCAGGACCAGGTTTATCCCCAAGGACCCCTCCAAAGGGCAGAAAAAGATACTGTATACAGAAAATTACCATATTAAATTCAATAATTTAGATTTTATTACATCAAATTTATTTTTTATCTTTATTCCACCCACTGCTTGGAAGAGGAGACTTTCCTACTTATTTATATTTTATGCTCATATTGATCCCCTATGTGTATGTTGAGACTTCCAAACAATAAAACTATAGTTCTTCTACTTACCACATTTGGAATTGTAAAAACCAGATAGGATGATGGGATTGGCAGAGTGGCAGGAGAGAGATCTTTGTTGGTACAAGTGTGGGGCAGGTTTGGGGCAAGGAAGGAGGAGGCAGAGAGAGAATGGGGAAGCAGGAGCTGATACCAAGATACAATTTTTAGTTTGCAAATGATTATGGATCTAAAATGTATCCTGCCTTCCAATGGAAAACTGATTTATTATACCAGAGTTCTTGAGTTGCTGTAAAGTAATCTCCAATATTACTGAATTTGGTAGAAATTTTGTGGATTTTTTTATGCTCTTTCATAGTAAAGAAGAAGAAACCAAAATTGCTCAATAAATTTGATAAAAGTATTAAAGTTGAACTTGATGCTGCAGAAAAGCTACGCAAAAAGGTAAAACAGATTGCAAAATTAAAACTGCAATTTAGCGTGTACTTGTGTGTGTCTGTCTGTCTGTCCATGCATCATACCACATAGCTAAATTAATTGCTAGTAAACTTCCTCTGGGGGGAGAAAAAGTATGAGAATGGACATTGACTTAGCAGAAATGTTTTAATATCTCTGAACATTCATCAACATGTCAGTAATCGATACACAACCAATAGGAATCAATCTTGTCTTTGGAATGATATTCCTGCAACTATAGAAATTAACACAAGCCATTTGTCATAATCTTTTTCAGATAAAGAAGATTTTTATGACAAATGGCTCATGTTAATTTCTTAACATAGTGATCAGAAATTATTCAAAGTTAATCCCCTCTTAAATAATTATATTTTAAATATCTATCTAGGCCTTTTTTATTTTTCCTAGGGCATTCATTTTAAACCCAAGAACTACAGAATTTTGTTTTTCTCCCTGAATTTATACTATTATTTGCATTTCTTTTAGTGATATTTTAATAACTTTTGTCAAAATATCATTGTATAAGTTCTTAAAATTGTATATTATATCTTAAGTACCAAATATTCCACCACACTTCCCTGATACTCTAGGTTCTGCTTTTCCCAACTTTTTGCCATCTATATGTGATGGAGTTCAATATTTATATGTCCTTGTTTGGGCCTTGTGGGAGTCAGCATCCAACATATCTGGAGTGCATTCTTTATATAAATAATAATTGTAAGGATTTCTCTTTTTATTTATAGCATAACTCTCTCACTTTCAGGGGAAAACAGAAGAAGCTTTAAAGGCATTTGAAGCTTTGGTAAGCAAGTATCCCCAAAGTCCACGAGCAAGATATGGAAAAGCCCAGGTAAAATTAAAAGAAAGCAAAAAATTGTGTATGGAAAATCAAACCATGATGTATCTCATTATGTACTTAAGATTTTTTACTGGTTGCAAATAAAGTAAAGTAAATAAAGTAAACAATTGATATACTGTATTAGGAAACAGCCTCTGATTTCAAAATCTATGAGTTATTTAATTCTTTAAAATACAGTGGTACCTTGGCACTCATCATTAATTGGTTCCAGGAGGTGCGATGAGTACCAAAAATGATAAGTACCAAACAATTTTTCCCATAAGGAAAAAAAATCACAAGGCAGCTGACACCAACAGGTTTTAGCTTGTGCGTTGAATACCAAATCAACGATGAGTACCAGGACAAAATTTTCACATTGAGTACCAAATTTGATGAGTTTCAAAGCAATTGAGTACTAAGCTACAACAGTATATAGAGGGGGGGAAATGCAGTATGGTCTCATAAGTTAATAGTGATAGACTAAGTGTACATTATTTTGTTGTAATTAAGTTGATTGGACATTGACAAATTTCTCTGAACTGAGATTATCTTCCTTTATTTCTCTCTTTTAATAAATACACTAATCAGGAAATTATATGAATCAGAATTGGCAAAAAAACAAACAAGTGCAGAGAATAGTGAATTTTGGAATTTAATGGCCAAATGGTAGCATGGCACAAAAAGGACCATGGTGGGCCTGAGTTTGAAAGAAAACATTCCCATAAAATTGGGATTGGGAGGAAGGGGAAAAGTTAATAAGTGAATGATTTTTCTAAGTGTTATTTGTCATACTGAAAATTCCAATTTGCTACTAACTTTTGTATGGATTTGGGAGCAAGATCACGCTTTCAGGATTGGTGGGCACATGTAGTCCTGACTCTGCATGTTACAAACCTCTGGATTTCTAAGGGAAAACATGGAAAATTTCCTTACGGATTCTTTCTAGCAGAGAATTGCCGTTGCATTATTTTGTGAATGAGAATAGCAATAGCAATAGCACTTAGACTTATATACTGCTATACTTTTCAGCCCTCTCTAAGAGAAGTCAGCCTGGGTCAATCTGGGTCCTCATTTTATCAATCTTGTAAGGATGGAAGGCTGAGTCAACCTTGAACCAGTCAGGATCGAACACCTGGCAGTGGGATTACAGAATTAGCCTGCAATGCTGCATTCTAACCACTGTGCCACCAAGCAGAAGCTGAATAGTCCTGTTTATGTGTCAGGAGTATTTGATAGCTAATCATACCCAACAATGGTGCAGTTAGGGACAAGTTGATGACAAAGTTCAGATTTTTGGATCTAAATAATTGAAATTAAGATGTTTCTTTCATGGCATTGGAATAATCATTTAAATTTATCCCAGTAATATTGGCTAAACACAGACAAGGTACTAATTTGGGTTCAGTATGAATTCTATCTTTAACTGAGTGAATGGAACTAAGTGCCAAAATATCCCTTTAAATCAGCCCCAAAGATGGCAGAAAGATATATTTGAATGGTTCGGATAACTTAAGTGGCAAGGAGTTGAGTATAAATTGCAAATATCAAGGGCCCAAGTTACATAGATGATTTGGGGAAAAAATAATTCCTTACATAATACAGACAGAGCTAGAGTTTTCCCCTGCCCTGTAAAAATTGAATGGTTAACTGCATAATTTTTAAAAGCAAGACCACTTTGATCCTACTTGATCAGTTTTCAGACTTCTCCTGAAAGAAGAGAACAGGTCATATAATGTAATGCTTCTTTACATGAGTAGAAGAAGCTAGCTAGCTCATGTCTTTCCATTTCTGAATGCTTTTGAGCTTCTCACATTGCAAGGGATTAAGACACGGTATTAGCTCTTCTACCCTTCTCAGCTGATGTAATCCTAAAATGAGAGTATGTTCCCTAACTCTGCCACCTGAAATTATCTGGTGAAAATGTAAGACATGTACAGGTGGTCCTCAATTTATGACCATTTTTAAATGACTGCTCAAAGTTATGAAGGCACTGAAAAAAGTGCCTTACAATCAGTCTTCACACGTCACAATGTTACAGCATTCCTGCAGTTGCATAATCATGATTTGGGCATTTAACAACTGACGTGTATTTATAATGGTTGTAGAGTCCTGGGGTCACATGATCACCATTGGTGAACTTCCCAGGGGGCCTCTGATAAGCAAATTTAATGGGAGAAGCTGGATTTGCTTAATGTAATTTGCATAACCACTGCAACAAAAAGGTCATAAAATCAATTGCATATCACCTAACACATGCATCACCTAACCACAGAAGTTCTGATCCTAATTGCGGTCGTAAGTTGAAGACTACCTGTACTGTGTAAGTTAGAACATTTAATCAGTGGAACAACCTGCCTTCAGAAGTTGTGAATGCTCAAACATTGGAAGTTTTTAGAAAGAGACTGGACAGCCATTTGTCTGAAATGGTATAGGGTGTCCTGCCTCTATTTTTATTATTTTTATTTTATTATTGTTGTTGCTGTTGTTATTTCTTTAAGGACCTCAGTCTAAAAACCCACAAAAGAATATATTTAAATCCTTAAAACCTAGTAGCACTAACCTACTATAACTAAAATGCAGACATGATACTATTCAAACTTATAGAATTAATTATGAAATTACCTACTGTTAAAATGTGATAATCATTTTAGGCATTTAGAGCAGAGGTCTGCAACCTGACAACTTTAAGACTTATGGATTTCAGCTCCCAGAATTCCTCAGCCAGCATAGTCCACAAGTCTTAAAGTTGTCAAGGTTGCAGACCCCTGATTTCGAATACAGAACAGAGATTGTAGGTTTTTTTCAGTTTTATGTCCCTTTTGCTGCAAGGAGGGGGAGACAAGAGCATCTTAAGTTCAAAATCACTTTACAGGCATCTCAGAAAAAATCAACTAAAGGAAGACGTGCATTGAAAATGTATTGATTGTTTTGAAGCAACTGTCATATCTTGATATAAAGAGGGCTTACAAATTTTCAAAATAACTTCTTAGTTTTTGATAGTATAACCGTGTTACACAGTTAAAGTCTCATTCTTCCTTTTGTACTAAAGAATTATGTATCTGCCATATGCAGTTTTTATAAATCAAAACTTTAGAACTCACATAATGGTGATTTTGAAATAAATCTTATAATCTAACAGCGATTAATTAATTAACCTGTGCTTTAAGTTTGATAGCAATTTCAATACTAATTAATGCTTGATTATCACACACAGAGTGAGGATGACTCGGCTGAGAAAATGAGAAGCAATGAAATACTACAGCGATCTATTACCACCTATGGTGAAGTGGCCAATCTGCCAAATGTCCCTGATGATCTAGTAAAGATGACATTGAAACGGCGGGCAGACAGGCAGCAGTTTCTTGGTAAGTTTCTGAAACCAGACTTACCAGTGGCTCAAATGTTGAAAAATGTTCCATGTTTTGATATCCAGGAATTAGATATTCTTGTGTAGTTCCCAAGCTTCCAAACTTATGGGCAGCAAGGTAGGATGGAAACCTATTGAACACTCTCAAAATATCTCTTAACCTCTTAAATGTTTATTGTAAACCACCTAGAGTCACTTAGGTAAGATGGGCGGTGTATAAATGATAGATGGATGGATGGATGGATGGATGGATGGATGGATGGATGGATGGATGGATGGATAGATAGATAGATAGATAGATAGATAGATAGATAGATAGATAGATAGATAGATAGATAGATATAGATAGATAGATAGATAGATAGATAGATAGATAGATAGATAGATAGATAGATAGATAGATAGATATCCTGCAACAAAATATCTATTGAATCTGGCAGTAACATTTGAAGAACATTGCACTGGACAAATTATCACTTTAGCAATAGTTAACTGACAGGCAATTCAGCAGGTCCTAAATTCAACAATTCCTAAGAGCCAATTTGGTCTAGTAGTTAAGGTACCAGGCTAGAAACTAGAAGACTGAGTTCTAGTTCCACCTTAGGTATGAAAGTAAACTGGGTGACTTTGGATCAGTCATTCTCTTTCTGCCCAACTCACCTCACAGGACTGTTGTTGGGAAGAAAATACCGTGTTTTCCCGAAAGTAAGACCTACCCGGAAAATAAGCCCTAGCTTGATTTTTTGGGGTGGGCCTAATATAAGTCCTACCCCAAAAATAAGCCGTAGTTTTGGAGCGAGGCAAGCTAGGGCAGGGGTAGGGGAGGAGCTGTCTCACGTGCCCCGCACCCGCTTACCATTGCAGCCTGGCCTTACATGAATTGACACCTGCCTCATTTTGCCAGCCCACTCTTGCGGCGCCCCACCCCAGCCTGCATTTCATGATCAGAGGCCTTCAGAAAATGCCTCTGCAGCTGAGAATGGAGCTATGGATTCCCCCGGCCTGCATTTTGCTGTCAGAGGCCTTTTGGAAAGGCCTCTGCAGCCAAGGATCAAGCTACGGATTGAATTTGTAGCTCAGTTCTCGGCTGCAGAGGCCTTTCTGTACGGCTTCTGATGGCAAAATGCAGGCCGAGGGGCACCGCATGCATCAATCTGGAGCTCCATTCTCAGCTGCAGAGGCATTTCCTTCAGCCACAGAAGAAATGGGCCGACCGGGCGGGACTGTTAGTGCCGCAACCACGAGATGAGACCGTGGAAAAGACACCCCCCGAAAATAAGCCCTGGTGCCTCTTTTGGAGGCAAAAAAAATAAAATAAGACCGGGTCTTATTTTGGGGAAAATACGGTAGGAAGAGAAAGGCATAATTAGGAGGAAGGAGTATTAGGTATGTTTGCCACCTTGGGTTAATTATAAAAATAAATGAAATAGTAAATAAATAAACAAAATAAATTGGATAAAAAATGAAACAATTCAATGAAAACTAATGTTGTTATGAACTAGTAATTAAAATTAAAGGCTTTTGTGAGGAGTCAGTGTGTAATCTGGCCTTACTTCTTTTTACTGCATATATGCATAATGTTACTCTCTTTCTGCCTGAGATTTGAAACAAATCACATTAGTTACTGAGAAGTATTTGTCGTCATGAATTTCTGCCTAGATATTGTCTTCTTCAAGTTATACCTCAGAATGTCCCGGAGAGTAACTGAAGAAACGGGTCAAGTATATTCAAGTCAGGTAGTCTAATAACCGCAGTGTCTTTCCAAGTAGCAGATTTTGGTAACCCTTCTCACCTTTCCCCCAGAGAACTCATACTGGGAAAATAGGTAGAGAGAAATGCTTTTCTGTATTTGTGGTACAAAAGTGCTGCAGCTGCACTCTTGCCAGCTATGGCAAATGCTGTGGAAATCTGTGCTGAAGCTGCCAGACTAGAGAACCCTTGACTCATGCTGAAAGTCTTCCAGACTGTGCTTTTGGGAAGGCTGTGGGTAATCCTCACAGCATGTGCTGAAGCTGTCCAGAACACAAGTGGCCAATGGGGATAGAGAATGGTAAGATGAACCTTCTCCTGCAGCTCAAAGCAATTAGAAGTAATATAAACTGTTTTGTCAAAGTGATTCATGTTACCTCTCACGTTTATAAAGAGAATCAGGTCACCTGCTTGTACAAATCTCTTTGTTAAAGTGAATCAAATACAAGCCTAATGCAAATACACCTGTCCGTTTCCAGTGGCTGAAATTGCAGTGTACAGGCTTAAAAGCTGAAGTTTTATTGTGCAAAAATAAATCTTTGGACACAAAATGCATTTCAATTACTAATCATTCCCAGGAACATTATATTACGGATATAATTTATATTTGAATAATTAAAGGTAGTAATTGTCCTAGTTTTATTCTCAGGTAGCCTATGTGATCCCAAAGAGCAGCAAGCCTTTCATTAAATAGTGTGATAATTTTGAATACCATGATTAAACTCAGTTTATTTATATCTAAAATGGATGCAGCTAATAAAAAGGCCAACAATTTGGAATATGCATTATTGTCCAAAAAGAAGATAGTGAAAATGCTTTGATTGTGCACTAGAGGTCTCCATAACACTAGGCAATGCAAGCATAGTTTTCTAAGGCATGACTTAGAAGTGAAAGTTTTACACATGTTGTACTGTTTAATGGCACATAGTTTATTTTATTTTTTAACAATCTTAATTTATTTTGTTAGCGTAGTTCCTGTATTCTAAGTTGCTTCTTCATGTACATAGCCAAGTTGCTTTTTTATTGTTTCCCCGTCAAATTAGGTCGCATGAGAGGTTCATTAGTTACACTACAGAAACTAGTTGATTTGTTTCCTAATGATGCTTCATTCAAGAACAACCTTGGAGTGGGTTATCTTTTAATTGGAGACAATAACAATGCCAAGAAGGTTTACGAGGAGGTGAGTTTCTCTTAAGTACAGATAAATGATCTCAAAAATACTATATGTGTGATTATGCAAGTCTTTATATATAAGAGCCATGCATTAAAAAATAACCTAGCTAGGTGGATAAAAACCTAGATATAATTATTAATTGCTTTGCCCATTTATTTTCACAAATCTAAAAACATCATTTTGATATTCTCATAAGGTATTAATGGTCAACCCTTTAATAACCCTTAAAAGTAGGTTTCCCTATTTATATGTTTTTTTTCAAATTCTAGGTCTTCATTTTTTTTTCTTTTACTCTTTTCTTCTTATGTTTAGATAAGGATGACATATTCAAGCCAACACCATAGCCTTCTTCAGTCAATCGAACACAGCTATGTGACAGTACTGCTGCAAATAAATTAAGCAAGTTGAGAATGAGAATAGTGCTTTTGAAATAATCGTGTCCCAATAAAAGAGAATATTTGTAGTTCATGATTGAAATGAGTAGTCCTTGATGTTCTCTGAGATTGATTATTTTCTTGCAGACGTTTCATTACATAAAAACGTTGATGATGTTACCTAGTTTGGGTAATGAAATGTCTGCAACGAAACAACCAAGCTCAGAGAGCATCAAAGGAGCCCTCCTAGTCATCTCAGTCTGTCTATCTATTTTACAAAAGAAATCTTACATGGTTATCATGAGATTTTATGAAATGTTATTATTTATTATAATGGCAGCCTCTGGGTGCCATACGGTTGACTATAGTATACTCCTTCACATCCATGAATTGGAATAAGAAATTGTAGGTCAGCTGCAGTCAAACTTACAGAAATCTTTTCTGTCATCTTAAAATGTTGTTCACTATTGTTCTCATTAGCTTTAATTAGCAATGGCAAGGATGCTTGAACTTCTAATCTGTCAGCAGCTACAGAGCCAGATGTTAACAGCTTGACTTCAGTGTTCTTCAGCCCTTCAATTATTCAGACCTTTTTTTAAAAAAAAAATCTCATTCTTTCTTCAGTGAGAAGGCTAAGTAGTAAAAATTAAATCAAAGAATTATATGTCTTTAACTGGAAATCAGTCTGATGGAAATGTGCCCTATTTCTGGGAAATGTTTTATCAGACCATCCATTGTATCACAGCTTGGAAGCAACGTCAAAAAAGGGGTAGCATTTCACTCCCCCCCCATTATATATTTTTCTTTTGACTGTCATAGTCTGGAACTGAACACACTACATTAAAGATAGTCTTTGTAAGAAATCAAAGCTGCTTTTGTTTTCAAACAGCAATTGATCTTGTTTTTACTTTTTTCAAGGGCTTTCTTTGTAGTGCAAGAAATCTGAAGACATGTTCTCGCTTATTCAGGTTATGCTAGTGCTCTGAACTATGCATGTTACAGCTAATGGAGTCAGGTGACTTGGTTACAAGGAAAATTCCCCTATCCAACAGACATGTGGTGTCTCCACAGTTCTCTGTACTGTTTGGCACTCCACCTTCCATTAAATCGATTGTACAAATATCAAATCCAACATTCAGAATTCTTAAAGTGGATCTTAATAAATTTCATTTCTATAGGAAATTTTATTTCTACTCCATCTTAGAGGCAATAAGAAAATGCTACCAAAACCACTATCTTCCATTGATAATGAGTTTTTCTCTTCTTTCTTGTAACATTTCACATCTGCTGCCAGGTTTGAATTTCTCTGTTTCTACTGGAGCATAAAATGATATACAGCAGGGACTTGTACATCATATTATCATCACTTTATGGGTTTTTTATTTATTGGATTTACAGCCTGCCTTTTTTTTGTATAGGAACTCAAGGTAGCAAACATTGTGGTTTCCCTTCCTATTTTTCTCCAGCAAGAGCCCTTTGAGGTTGATTGGGCTGAGAGAGAGTGACGGGCCCTATGGGTAGGGTAAAGTACAGTCTGGGCCTCCCTGCTCATAGTCCAGCACCTTAACCAGTATACTCATGGTCTGAAATAGAGCACTTGACCCAAAGTACCCCAGGGGCTGAGGAGGGACTAGAACCTGAGTCTGTCAGGTGCTATTCCGACTCCAGATTCCATACTGCTGCCAGTTAGAGAAAAGAGAAGATAAAGGACTGAAAGAAACAAATACATTTTTAGGTCTTTCTAAAAAACTGTGCATCAATGTTTTAGAAAGCTGCAGAGATGAAGTCGTAATTATTATTTGTTTTGCTCTCCCTTAGGTTCTAAGCCTGGCTCCTAATGATGGCTTTGCAAAAGTGCATTATGGATTCATTCTGAAGGCAGAGAACAAGATTGAAGAAAGCATTCCCTATTTGAAGGTAAAATTTACATTAGGACTTTTATCTTTTTCTATTTGAGAAAGCAAAAAGCATTTGCTGCCGAAAGGAGGGCAATTGGGATGTCATGTACTGTATAGGATTAGGGGTGAAGTATTTAACAATAGAGCTTTCTCAAAGACCATATTTCCAGATTCTGGGTTTCCAGTAAGTCATATAATGTTTTTTCTACCTACTCTGTTCAAAAGCTAATTCATATATCTCTTTTTGTGATGGTTTTTCTGATGTAATCCTCTATATAGTAAAATAATAGATTAGTACATGTTGAATTACGGGCAATAATCATTTTCAGTTGTAAACACTTGAGAAAGAAGCATCTTGTGTTGTATCTCCACCTCTAGAAATGCCTCTGGGCATAGCAGTTTAGCAGCTGAAAAGATCAGGGGGGAAAAGAATAGTAATTTCATAATCAGTGTGGAAATAAGAAAAGTAAGATACAGAATTATAGGAATCCCAAGGTTCATAAAGCTCAGCAGAAAAGAACTGTGTAAATCCAGTTATGGTAACAATGACTTCATTCTTTGAATTTAATTTCTTTAGCCAAAATGACACCATGTACATCAGAGGTATCAGCAATACTGTATAGGGAAAATCAAGATTTACCAAAATATGGGTGACAATGCAAATAAACATATAATAAGAGAAAAAACAGAACTTGAGTTATGAGAGTGAAATGTTGGAAGCAGAAAATTTGAAAATCATTATAGATATGCAAGTTAATAGCAGGGTGAAAAAGGAGAGAAAAGGGAATGGCTGGCTGGCTGGCACAATTTCTTGTAGAACTCAGTACAGTGATAACCTAAGGGATAAATTTAAAATGACTTAACAAGTAGTTGATGTGGTTTCCCTTTTTTTCTAGGAAGGTCTAGAATCAGGAGATCCTGGCACTGATGATGGCCGCTTTTACTTTCATTTGGGCGATGCCATGCAGCGAGTCGGAAACAAAGAGGTAGGGGGTCTACTGACTTCATCTGAAAAAGCAAACCACACCACAGCCACAGAGGGTAGGGGTAACTTAGTCCCAATGGCCAGGAACCTGAAAAAAGAGGATGAATATCCCTATCATGCTGTAGAAGAGGTACTTTGCTGTCTCTTCAATTGTATATTTTGGTCAACACTCAGAGCTTAATTAGAGGTAATATTATTCATAGCTTTAACACTGCAGTGGCTGTGCTGTACCTATAAAAAAAAGTTTAACAAATGAATACATAGCTAGCTTGGATAAACCTCTGCCCAGTATTTATTCCTTATACTATAAATTTTGTTTTCTAATTATTAAAAGTTTCAGCTGACAGAGATGTAGTATTCCTTTCCTCCCTTCCTTTAAGTTACGGGTGCCAAATTTAATCACATCCTGTGATGTAGCGTGACGTATCATGACGTTTTTTGCCTTTGCAGAGCCGGGGTGGGCATGGCCTTCGCGTGATGTATCCGGCCTGCGGGCCCCCAGTTTGATGCCCCTGCTTTAAGTTATCCCCTCCCTCCTGATCAAGTTAAGTTTAGGCCAAGATTGAGCAAATAGCCATGTTTTTGGTGCTAAGACTAGTAAGGGGGGGAGAGGCAATGCTATTTCAGAAGACAGATGTTAAACATAGAAGGCCTTGTCTGAATCCTGCTAAATAACATTGCTTAATCAATGGGATCCCCACACAAGTCAGTTCTTTCAGAATGTTGTAGATGGGCAGAAACCATAGGAGACAGATGTTCCTTCAAATAATCTACCCCGTGCCATATAAGGCTTTAAAGGTGACAACTAGCCTTATTGCACCTAGAATCCAATTGGCAACCAGTACAAACCACAAAGCATAGGCATTATATAAACATAACATGGCCTGCACATTACGGTTTGTTCCATTAGATTTTGGACCAACTGCACCTGGTTTTCAGGGAAAGCTCTATGTAATTTGCAGTCCAACCACAAGGTGATTAAGGTATGAATGACTATTAATCCAGAAAAGGGCACCCTTGATGTGCAAGAGAATCTACAGTATGCAAAGGTCTTCCTGGCCACCTGCTGCAGTGTGCTGTTCAAAGAAGTGTGAGCTCAGAAGGACCTGCAGATTGCATGCCAGACTCAACCAGGATTCTGCAATTCCATTAAAACCCAAAGAGGAAAGATCTTTCATATCTGGGCCCAAACATGCACAGTTACTCAGTCTTACTGAGTTTGTTCCTTTTCATGCAAATCCTCAGAGCCACCAAGCACTAGGATTTGACTTCAACAGCATCATTTGGCCAGCCCATGACTGAGAAATACTATTGAGTATCATTGATATACTGAGGATATCTGCCCCCAAAATGATGGATGATCTGACTCAGGTCATCTTATGAAGATGTTAAATGATGGGAGAAGAGTATTTATCCCTGAGGCTTCCCACAAATCAGTAGCATCTGGCTCAAATTATCTCCTGTTATGAACACTGACAAATCAGGCAATCAAGCTCTGTTGATTTGGTATATTCATTAATTTTCAGTGTGGTTTATATTGTATATGTTATTCAATGGATACTCTAGTTTGGAACAAAAATAGGGTTCATGAAAAATGATCTTCCTTGGGCAAAACATCTAAATTTGTCACTGTGAGTCAGTTCTGAATGAACAGAAAAAAAATCCTGAATATGTTCAAATTCAAGATTTAATCAAAGAAACAAATCAGTACACAAGCATTTGTAATCCCCATCACTGAAGATACATGTTCATACCTAAGTTTGCAGTCAGGACTAAAAATTAAGCTATTGATGTTTTGAAAGTTTACTTCCAAATGAGTATTTTACATAACTGGATAAAGGTTTTAAATGCATGGAATTAGTTAAACTGCTCTTAGCTATATAATGCCAAAATGGATACAAGCATTCTTAACCGCAGTTGTTGGAATTGTATGCTTCTGGTCTGACCCTCTACTCCAATCTTACCATATGAATAAGGAAGTCTGTAAAATAGTTTTAAATGCTTCTGGACAAATATGCTAGCAACGCCCTAGACAATATAGAACCCTATACCATAAGGATTCTGAATCCTATGCTTTAAAAAAAATAATGTAATTCACCTTCAAATTGCCCTGGTAAATTCAAGGAGATCAGCAGTAATAGAGATGAAGTGAAGCATAAATCTTGTCTCCCCTTCCATAATTATAATTAAGATGGAGTTTAAATTCAATAAAAATTGGCATAAGAAATAAGCTCCTCCTTATTCAATAGGTGATGTAAGATGAGGCTTTTCAGAGCCCTTTGCAGTGTCTGAAAGAGAGAAGCAGAGTTTTTCCTTTCACGCTTGACATTTCAGTTAAAACCACATGAAGGAGTTCTTACATTTGATGCCAGTCCAGATAACTGCTATTCATTCTTTTGGTTCTGACAACATTATTCAGAACAGAGTATTGCTTGTCTTTGTTTCGCCAGAAGAGGAGGCATAAAGGATATAGAGAGCCCTCAGAAACATTATGAAGCATAGGAAGTATGGATTGTTGCAAATAGGGAACATTGGGAAGATGTGGGTATAGATGGATTGAACAGGAGAATGAGAAAATCATCTAACTTTTCATTATTCTTTATTCCAAATAGAATTAGAGGCCACAGTGCAGGAAATTCTGTTTCCTCTTTTATTTCCTCCTGGTTACAGATCATCAGTGATAGACATACCAGTTCTTCTGGATTTTTTGAGTCCTGTGTTCCTTTGTTTCCAATGTATTTCTGCTGCTTCATGGGTAACAATAGCTTCTATATATGGTCATGGATTTATTATATCAATGCCTCAAAAGAAAAAGTTCACTCATTCCTAGTTGACTCATATAGTTATATAAAATACTCATTAAATATAATGACAGTTAAAGTGATATTATAAAATTTTGGGAATATGAACTGCAGTAATAATTTGGAACTAATTTTGTAAAAAATAATTTTTTTTCCCAGCCCAGGTTAACATTGCTTTCTTATAAATGACAATAATTTCAAAAATGGACTTAAAATGTATTGGATAAACTATACAATGGAGTAAATGTTTTTCTGTTCATTATCATTTCTGCTCATTATCATTAACATTATCATTTCAGTTTTAATAACTAATATTAATATTTTATTATTGTGCGAGAAATAAGTATCATTAGAAAGCCAGAAATAATGACTAGATTATTCTATTTCTTATTAACTTAATTTTTCAGTTGAAATGCAATAATTAAAAAATATGCTGTCAAATTTCAATCTTCTAGGCCTACAAGTGGTATGAACGTGGGTACCAACGAGGTCACTTTGCCTCTGTCTGGCAGCGTTCTCTATATAATGTCAAAGGCTTAAAAGCTCAGCCATGGTGGACAGCAAAGGAAACTGGTTACACAGAACTGATCAAGGTGCGTGATATTGTTCTTCCATAGAAACATTATACTAAGTTGATTTTAAAATTGCTGGATTTTAAAATTGCTGCTCTGTGTATTTTAGAATAAGCCCAATGAACATAATGGAACATACTTCTAAACAGAGTTGAATGAGTATGTCAGGTCTGGTGTCTATCTTGGTCCCAGTGTTTTTATTTCTATTTTTGTTTGCTCTAATTTAATTTATGCTTAATCTGTGATTTTTTTAAAAAAAAATCCTAATGTTGTGTGCATATTTCTCCTTGGGTGAATCTCCTTTCTATCTGCCTCCTGCATACACAACGTAAGCCGGGGGGGGGGGGGTGTCCTCTAAGACAGGGCTTTTCAACTGGTGGTACGCGTACTACTTGTGGTACATTAACGAGTGGCAGGTGGTACGCAGCCCTGCTAGCCAAGTGTAGTGGGGGAGGGAAAGAGCCAGCGCAGGCAAGGACTTACTGTGAGAGAGTCCTCTGGAGCTGCAGAGTGGCTGAGGCTGAGCCTCACCCCAGGCTCACTTCTGGCTCACCCTCCCCCATGAGAAAGGAGGAGGAGAGGGGCGGAGACAGGAGAAGCTATAAAAGAAGGCAGTTTGGGCGGGAGAGGGGAAAAAAAGAAGCAGCCTCCCAGGATGTGGAGTCAGCTCTAGCTGCAGAAGGGGAAGGAGGAGGGTGGGGGGAGGAGAGGAGAGGAGATCAAGGAATCCAAGCAGGCCAGCCATGAGCCGATCTACAACTTCTGTGGCAGCCACCTGTGCTGGCAGCAACAAACAGGCAAGAAATGCAGCAGGGGAGGGGTTGCCCTCCAGGAGGAATGAAGAAAGGTAGCATCAGCTGGAGGTAAGACACGGAGGGAGGGAGGGAGGGAGATGGAGTGGAAGGATTCTTATGTGCTTTTGTGACTTTGAAGTTCTGGGATTTGTGTAATGTGGACTTTGTGTTCTTAAGGAGTGTTTGGCAATTTCTATTTGGCTGATGGCTGATGTCTCATGTTAGCTTCTATTGTTCTGCTATTGTTAGCTGTAAGTTTTGCTGCAAGGGATTTTGAAGTATTTTTCTCCTGAATGGATTTTGCCTGTAGCATTCCTTTACTTATGAATGGAGCCATTTGGGGAGGCTGACTTAGCCGGCAGCCAATACTTACTACATTTTTTTTTCCTTAAGTGCCGGCTGCACTCATTAACTTTCCTTTCTAGCCAGTAGCTAATTCTTAAAGAGGAATGTGCCTTTTTAAGCCAGTTCCCTCAGCAGCTTCACTTTTCTGTGTCTGGAGGCTTTTCATTGTTTGATGAAAATATGGAAGAGGGAAAATATGGGGGGGTGTTCAAATTCTTCCTTCAGAAGGAGGTGGGCATGAGAAAGAAGGAGGGAGGGAGGGAAGGAAGGAAGTCCCACCTTAGCACTTGGCCACTAGCAGCCCTGCCATTGACTTTGCTTGTCAAAAGGTTGCAAAAAGGGATCATATGACTCTGGAACACTGTAATCATCATAAATGTGAATCAACTGCCAATCATCCAAATATAAATCACATGACCCTGGGCATGCTGCAATGGTCATAAGTGTGAAAAATGGTCATAAGTTATTTCAGTGCAATTGCAACTTTGAACAGGTTTTTTGGTTTTTTTGGTCATCAAGTTTTTGACACCTTGCTAGGTGGTACTCGAATATTGCCATAGCCTAAAAGTGGTACAGTCGGTGAAAAGGTTGAAAAGCCCTGCTCTAAGAAATGTGATTTGGATGTAACCCCTTATAAATCCAAACATAGAAGTAGTTTTTGGGTGAGGCTTTTCAGAAGTGGTTTGCCATTGCTTCCTTCTTAGAGCTAACAGAGAATAACTGGCCCAATATTAACCAGCTGACTTTGTGCCTAAGGCAGAAGTAGAACTCACAGTTTTACAGTTTGTGTGATGTCTTAATGATTATACCAAATTGGCTCTCTTCTGCTACATTGCCAAAGATATAAATAGAAAAGATTTTGATTTAGAATCTAGTTACATAGATTTGCACTAAAATGAGAACAGATTAATTTCTCACTACTGTATTTCTATTCCTGAATAATCATTCAAAATATAAGTCTGCCCCAGGCAAGTCTCCCTTATAACTGATAAAAAATTATTTTCTTTCTTCACTAGAAGTTAAATTATTTCTTTCTAGTTCAAATTGCTTTACAGCAATGTATTGAAAGGATTAGATTGCAGAAGTATGTTAAGTAGCAAATACAATGAATTGCATGCTCAGCCCTTGAATTGGACAGACAAAGATAGCTACGATAACTCAATAATTCACACTAATTACAAGGAGGCAAGCCTTTAATTGCTGAATGTTGTAATTAGTGGATAACAGACCAATCTATGTTTCCTCGTGATCTCATAACTCTTAAAGGTTTCAGTGGGACATTTAATTGCATATGGTAGGCAATATTAGATCAGCTGGATAAATGGAGAAATCAGGCTAGATTGAAAGAACTTGGCAATATGTATAGTTCTTGTGATAGATGAGAAAAGTATTTATGATTACTGCACTGCTGTTCCTTAATTTATTTGTTCTAGTATTAATCTTAACATTTAGAATATCATTTGGTGGAAGTTTTATTCTTGTTATATATCTAGGACAGGCTTACCTGGAACTGGTTCTCCCAACTGTATTAGTAACAAAACTATGCTCACATTATTTGGGAGAGAAATGATGATTAAAAACAAAATGATCTGATTTTCATGAGCAAGATGTATTTAAATGTTAGGAGAGAATTTTCTTTTATATTAGAAGTCCAGTTCCTTATTGTTTTTAGCTAATACTTTCAGCAGATTTCCTTGTGAAAAAAGTTAAGGAGAACTTAATTTGCATGTGCACATTAAATTCTATCTGTACGAGAATTGTGATTGTTTTTTAAAAAAAAATTCTTCCTATTACAGTCAATGCAGTGTTAAATAATAATGCTGGCTGCAGAAAAACAGATGTGTAGGAATGCTCAGAAATGTTAGAAAATAGTTGAATCAGGCAGGGTAGTGTTGAAGGAAAACAAGTCTGATCACCGCTAGCACCTCCATCATTTGACTCTGACTCATCTCTAGACTTATCCTCTTGCTTAGTCCTTCAGATGCTGCTTTCCCAATGAGCTCACTTTTGTATTTTTAAGTTTGACTGGATTTACGATCAGAGGATTTATTACAGCAGTAACTCAGATGTCTTGTGAGGCCAGAACAAATTCTGTCCGTCCAGCAGCATGAAAAATATCAGAGACAGAAATGCTTTTGTTTTTTGTCCTGAATGCTACTCACTGTGGTTCTCCAGCATCTCAATTTAGACCTCTTGGAATGTTGTTCATAAAAGAAAAAAAATCAAAGGCTCCTTTCTACTGTATCTCCCATTATAGGTTGCTGCATAATACACCATTCTATTTACAACTATTAGTTTATTTTATTTTAATGAAAATAGCAGAAGGGCTGACAGTTCTTTGAATTAAATAGAAAACTTTGATTTGGAAGTTTCAGTGCTTGGGTTTAATCATAGTTTGGCACCCAGATGATATCTAATATTATAAGCATGGCAAATTTAAAGATCGGAAATGAGGAAAGATAATTACACATTTTCATGTAGAAAAGGATGATAGGACAGAACCAATAGGCGTCTGCTTCAAAGCAGTAACCGACAGCTACTGTATGTGAATCTTCATTAATCATGTTTTGGAAAATTGCCTGGTATTCTGGTAAATTAATCTCTTGTAATTTAAGGGATATGTAAGCCTCCTGTTCTTTTCAGGAAATAGTTATAGAAACAAGTTATTTTTTGTAAGGATAATTGATTTGCATATCTAATATGGCTAGTGTGTTCTTAGGGTTGCAGATGTAATGATTTCTCTCTCCAGTAGCTACGTATCCATTTTTGTCTACTTGTACAAATATATAAAGACGTTTATTGGAAACTGAGATGCTGCATTTTCAACAACTATATGGAAAAGCCGGGCTTTGAATCTCCCTGCTATTTTATAAATACCTACACCCAACCTTTGAATCTTTGCAAAGAGTCAAAATCCTTTAGGGGGGAGCGGTATGGGGGGGGGGAAACCAGACCCTTTAAGAAGTCTGTTTCCTCTTCAACTTATTTTTCTTGCATAGGGTTAGGTGATTTATATTATAGATAGCTTTTAGATACCCATTCCAGGTGTTTCACATGACAAAAAAAGTATGCATACACAAACAAACATAAAACACAAGGGGATAATTCTCACAAAGACAAAAAAAAATCAGTTCAACAAGAAAGCCTTCCATCTGTCTTCCTGAGGACAGTGGTTGAGTATGACCAGGTATTCAATTTGATTAATGAAATACAACCCCAGCCCCCTTCTGCACTAGTCTCCTCTGTATATAATTGCCTATGACTGTTTGAAATGCTCTTAAGCATCTCCATCTCCTGTCACAGATTTATGTTAAAATTTCTCAGGTAGGTAGATTGACTTTCATTCATGTGTTCAAGCAGAGCTTGGAAGGTCCTCTGCTAGAGATGCTTCTGTCTGGATTTCTGCAAGAAGCAGAAGGTAGAAAGTCAAAACTTTCTATTCTATAATTCTCCCAATTCTATAATTCTATGAGAAAATAATGGGGTTGTGCATGAGCAGAAATATTCAGATATTCTGAGTTTTAAAAGCAATCAGGGAGCTTTTTTTTTAAAAGAAAATGTGTATTCTAGTTTTACTACAAGTATGAAAGATAAGATAAAAAGTATGGCTTTGTCTAGTTTATGCAGACTGGGGAGTTTACTTTCTATCACACTGTTTAGTCCTCTCACTATTACTTTTTATCAACCTCACAATAAAATAACTCTAGGCACCTTATAATAAAAAGAATTATAAAATCAATTAAAAACAATTAAAAATTAACAATGTTTTACAATTATTATAATTATCATTTTTACGGGCATATTTAGAAACAACGTATTGGGTCACAGCCAATGTTTATGTTCAAAAGATATTTATGAAGCCTAAGTATAATCTGAAATCTAGAATTTAGTTTAAGTTGCACCTTAAATTATTTTTAAAAATTAAATGTTTTAGAACCTGGTAACCGCTAAGGGAGATGTTTACAGAAACACTGGTACCTATTGTGCCAGATCTAGCTTATATGTGCAAACTATATGAAAAAAGAAATATATAAGTAACATACTTGGACTATAACAATAAAATAATACAGTGATTGAATACTATAATTCAGTGGTTAAAACAATTTACTCTTTAAGCAACACTGGCAACTGATTTTATCTAGCCATGGTGGTGCAGTGGTTAGAATGCGGTATTGCAGGAGTTTGATTCTGAACGACTCAAGGTTGACTCAGCCTTCCATCCTTCCAAGGTCGGTAAAATGAGGACCCAGATTGTTGGGGGCAATATTCTGACTCTGTAAACAGCTTAAAAGGGGCTGTAAAGCACTATGAAGCAGTATATAAGTCTAAGTGTTATTGCTATTTCTACTGCTTTGTGTGAATAACAGCAAAAGCTCCTGCTGCAGCAAATATCTATTTTGGCTTAATTGACATTATATGTCGGGTGCCTAAAACAGATAATACAACTGGAAGGTTGCCTAAGGAATCAATAAACAAAGTTGTGGAATCATTAGAAAAGAGTATTGTAACTATCATATTTTGCATGTTACTTATTACAATTTTGAACAAAAAACAATTCTAATTAGGAGCATTGTTTTTGCTACAAGCAAAATATGCCAAAACAGAATAACAACAAGCTTAATAAAGATGATGTTTTAATTAATTTTGAAAAGGCTTCATTCTTCTACTTCAGTTATTTTTAATGCCAAAAAATGTAGGCAAGTTTGTTGTTCGCGCAATCTAAATTTGCAAGTGTATCACTTCATCATTTGCAGTTTTGCAAAAAAGCAACATCAATCTTTTCAATTTTGCAGCATCAAAACTTTATTTTCTAACTTTATATAGTATGTAAAATGCTACTCATAATCAAATACAATCCACACAATAAGAAATCTTTATCTGAGAAATATGTCTCATATTGAAAGAATATGAGATAAAAGATAAGATAAAAGATAAAGATAAAAGAATCTAAACTATTTCATTTGTACCATTTTCATAACTAGTAATTATTTTTCTTTCTGATCCTAGGGCATGTTTTTAAAAGGTAGGGATGAAATTAGTCCCCATGTCCTTTATCTTTCTGTCCAATATGCTGACTTTTTGGTGTCAGTAGCACCATGAGTGGATTGTGTCATTTGTTCCAACAAGTCAATAATTAGTAATAGCTATTGATGGATTTAAACAGTCAGCATGTTTAAACACATGGAAAGACTAAATCATAATCAGTGGTACCTGGCTCAATAGTAGTAATAGAATAACAGAGTTGGAAGGGATCTTGGAGGTCTTCTAGTCCAATCCCCTGCTCAAGGAGACCCTATACCATTTCAGACAAATGGCTGTCCAATCTCTTCTTAAAAACTTTCAGGATTGGAGCATTCACAACTTCTGTAGCCAAGTTGTTCTACTAATTAATTGTTCTGTCAGGAAATTTCTTCTGAGTTCTAGATGGTTCTCTCGATTAGTTCCCATCCATTGATTCTTGTTTTGCCTTTTTTGCTTTTCCCTCTTCTTTGTGGTAGCCCTTAGATATGGGAACATTGCTATCATATCACTCTGAGTCCTTCTTTTCACTCTGATTAAACTAGACAAAGCCAATTCCTGTAACTATTGTTCATATGTTTTAGCCTCCAGTCTCCTAATAATCTTTGTTACAGCCTAGGACTGTGTTGGGTTTTTTGGTACACTGCTGGCTCATATTTAAGTGATTGTTCACTAGGACTCTGAGATCCGTCTCACAGTTTCTACTATTGAGCCAAGTACCACTCATTATGATTAAGTCTGTTCATGCAGTTCATGATCTCATCCACAGTCATACTTGGTCATGTATTTGATGCTATAAATGAACTTCTTCACCTTTTAGCAACAATATAGTAGATTTGAAGAAGTCCTTCTTTGGAGACAACAGTTTTGGTTGTTTAAAGACAATGCTAGCTATAAAGAAATCACTAGATTGGCATAATTTAGTATGTCAGGCTCCTGCTTCAGGCTCATGTTAAGTATATTTATTTTGTTTTATCAGTTTCCTAATCCATAAAATCCAACTACATTTTCCTTTTTCATGTTTCCAAGTTTGGCATTCCAATCACCAATCACAATCTGCACATCTTGCATGCATGTTCTGTTGATTTCAAATTGGACTTGATCATAAAGTCCAATCTTTTTCTTCTGCATCAGTGGTTAAAACATAAATTTGAATGATTATCATATTATTGGATTGCGCACCAAGTAACTCCTTCCTTAGGTAAATCAAAAGCAAATAAAAGTGAAAGCCATTCTGGTAAGTATTTGATATTATTGGAATAGTTATGATACAAAAGTAATTGAAAATGAGAAACTCTGGGAGGCTTTGTGACATATGAGCCTATATTTATTTTTGAGGAGAATTAGTTAAAAGAATATGCAATGTACGTGATGTTTTGTCCTGTTAGTCCTTAGAAAAAAACTGGAAGGTGATCCGGGATGAAGGACTTGCTGTAATGGATCGAAGCAAGGGCCTCTTTCTTCCAGAAGATGAAAATTTACGAGAAAAGGGTGACTGGAGCCAGTTTACTCTGTGGCAGCAAGGTACACAACTCATTACTTTTCTTGTCTCTTCCATTGTTCCCTTTCCATGCTAACAAAACAAAACAACTGAAATGTTAAAGGGAAAATATGTGTTGTGATGTTAAAGATCAGGATTATGAACATTGAAGTGCCGGCCCTATTTTTTCTGGGAGGGAAAGATGCTCTTCATGGATCCATGCTGCTCTTACCATTATTACTAGACTTGAGCAAAAACTCTTTTTTTCATTTTTACTATTATTTCATATTCAATTTAAAGAAATGTTTTTATTTCTTCCCCAAAGAGGACAATATCATTGAAATCCTCATGAAAGGAGAGTAGGGTTTTTACATTTAATTAACTGCAAATTGACTCAGAGCATATGAATTACTATTTTTATTATTCTTAGCATAGTTATTCTTACATAGGGAATATCTGAGATAAATAACAAACAATAAATATTTACAATTTCATAAAAGAAACTCAGTTGGACCATAAGAAAGGTTGAGCACAAAAGAATTGAGGCCTTTGAACTATGGTGCTGGAGAAGACTCCTGTGAGTCCCCTGGACTGCAAGGCGATCAAACCGGTCAGTCCTAGAGGAGATCAACCCTGACTGCTCTTTAGAAGGCCAGATCCTGAAGTTGAAATTCAAGTACTTTGGCCACCTAATGAGAAGGAAGGACTCACTGGAGAAGAGCCTAATGCTGGGAAAGATTGAGGGCAATAGAAGAAGGAGACGACAGAGAATGAGGTGGCTGGATGGAGTCACTGAAGCAGTAGGTGTGAGCTTAAATGGACTCCAGAAGATGGTAGAGGACAGGAAGGCCTGGAGGAACATTGTCCATGGGGTCACGATGGGTTGGACACGACTTCGCAACTAACAACAACAACAAAAAGAAACTCAGAACTAAGCATGCTTTCAATCACTGTCAACAAAATTAGGACAATAATAAAAAAGGTTACAAAATATGTTTAAGCTGATATAAAAAAAATCAGGAAAATTTAGAGCTACGGTAACATGGATGGAGTCCAGCAATCCTATATACTTATGTCATAATTTAGTGATTCCCAAGCAGTGGCAATGTGTGTGGGATGGTTTCACATACACAATCTAATCCAGCACATGCACAAATGGAGTTTTGCGCGCTCGCCTGCCGCTTGCACGGCCCAGTTGCCACTAGGACACAGAATGGTACTAGTCCACAGACCAGGGATTGGGGGCCGCTGTCATAAATATAATGTAATTTTAATTTGATTATAGTGTCTACCAGCTATGTAAGGCAGAAATACTTAATCATGCAAGAAATGAAATAGAGGCAATTAAATTAAATGTATTAAAAGATGGGAAAAAGTTGAAAAGACTATACTGAGTTCTCTTACAAATAGGATTATAAAATTATCAAAACTTTTGCAGAGAAAGATAATTTATTCAGGAATTAACTTCTCTAGAGAGGTTTATAGTAATAAACCAAGCCAAATAAGAAGTATAAGATACTGATGAAGTATCTGTTGAATTTTTTAAAGCTGCAGAAGGGAGTTAAACTGTACATAGCTACATCTCAACAAATATGGAAAAAAGATTGTATGGCCTAGAGATTACAAAATAATGCATATAGCTATACTCAAGAAGGAAAATGCAGGAGAATGTCAATAAACTAATTTCTCACACAAGGAAAGTTTGGGCTAAGTTCTTACAAACAGAAATGGAGCAGTATATGGAGTGAATTTCAAAAGCAGGTAAGTTTCAAAAAATGCAAAGGGTCAGGTAAGTTAACATATGGTTAATAATTCAAGAGAATAAAAGAAATAGATTTGCATTTGCTTCTTTATAATATATCTGTCAATGTTATAATACACATGAATAGGACAGTAACTCATGGAAATAAAACACTAGATACTCTGGAATTGAACAGGGACAATGATGAAATTTTATAAAATAAAACAAAAGCTAAAAAGAAAACCACTATTAATAAATTAAAACAGAAATAAAAATGTTCTTCATATATGTGTATGTCTCAGTAAATGCAAATAAATTAGAAAAGTTCAGCAAAATAAAATCAATAATGCAATACTATTACCCCATTCTTGGCAATAATATAAAAATGTTTCCAATTACACAAGTATATAAACATACAACTCTGTTCTAAAGGTTAAACAAACATATGTAACATTTCCCATGATGAGCCACTGATTAAAAAGCAATAATATAACCCACTGAGTGCTATAAAATGATATTTAAAGCAAAGATGCACTCAAACTAAATAATGGCTCATTAATTACACAAAGAGAGGAACAATTCATGTACAGCATGTATGTAATTTCTGGAAATGGAGTACAAAGATTGTTTGAGAATAACCCTACAAATAATAAAATATTTTTTAAAAATTATACTGCCAAACTCTAAATGTTAAAAATAAATAATATATCTATTATCTAAGTATTGAATGACAAAATGATCATAGTAATTGTTAAGCTGAGGTCTTCATTAACACCTTTAGAGACCAAACATTTTAATCTTAATATCCATCATGTGTAAAGAAGAACTTTAGTCTGTATATACTGATGTGGACGCAAAAGGAAGGCCAAAAGGAAAAGTCTGAAATAGTGTGCAGATACAATATTTAACTAAAGGAGTCTTTGTGTGTTTATGTCTATTGCCACTTTTTTAATTGTTTAGTGGCTTTGCCTACATAAAGTAAATTGGCATGGATGCTTGGTAATATTTTACTGGTTACAGTTATAATATACGTTCTGCTCTACATGTTAATTAATACTTTGAGTTTCAAAATATAACTGCAAGAAATATACTGCCCACAATGAAAGACCTTATGAAGGGACTCTAAAACAGAAATGGACTATTACACTTTGAGCAATATATCACATTTCAGAAGTGAAATACTGCAAGCATAAGTTCTCATAGATATGGATTGACATCCAGGAATTTCCTAAGCTCAAAAATCAATAACTGAAAATAATTGAGAGGCTGAAACCCTAATATTCTGAAGTATGCAGATAACCTAATTTTGTTAAATAAAAGCAAAGGAGACATCAAAGCCTTTGTCTTACATTATGAATGGAAAAATGGAAAATGAGAAATCTGGGTTAATATTAAATATTAGGGAGAAACAGAATGTCAAGTGGCATAATTAATGAAGAAGTCAAAAAGATAGATAATTTATTTAAAAAGATAAGATTAAAAAAATGAAACATGTTCAGGAAAAGTATAATCTAGTCCTAGAAAGGATGACAATGACAAACAAAATAATGAAAAATAAGGATTCTTATAATGCAATAAAGATCAGAATACTTAAAATAGTGGTCTTTCCAGCTATGCCAATGATTAGCTGTGAAAGTTAGGCACTGAGAAAGAAGATAATGTTTAAATTATTGATGAGAAGAAGATTAATAAGAATATCGTAGGCTCCAAAAATATCCAGTTATGGACCAAATAAAGGCTCAGTGTTCCCTTGAGATTAGGAAGAAGAAATTCACATACTATAGATATGTGATACAAGCAAGGCTGTTCTTGGCAAAGCTGAGAAAGAAGACAGTAATAAGGTGGATGGTTGAGATCAAAAGAACATAGAATTGGGGGACTTCCGGTGGCAGGCGACTTCGTCGGTCGCAGCTGTTTGCTGCCTCCCGCCTGTTTCGCGTAAAAGCCGGTTTGACAGCCAGCACCAGCTGTCAAACGGCTTGATACCTTTCCCCTGGGCATAAGGGGATAGGTGAGCTGCCCGGGGTAGGAGTTGAGTTCCCGAGTCGTCCTATATGGACGATGTAGGTGAG